CCCCCACGAGTACCTTCCCGCCCTGCTCCCAAACCCGCCGTACATACAGGCACCCCGATGCAGAGGGCCTGTCGCTGATGGAGGTCAGAACAGAACACTGTCGTCAGGCCGCGGAAACAATACAGACAGACATCCATACACAGACAGACAGACAGCGGAGATGATAAATATGCATGCGGCTTTGTGATATGTACGGCTCCCGACCCCTCTTCCGTTCGCGTCGCTGATCCGAGACGGTGTGTCGCTGGCTGGTTGGGGCCAGTTCTAACAGACCATCTTCACCAGGGCGCGCGCACGAGAGGAGACGGCAGCGTGGCCAAGGCAGACACCAATCATACACACAAGAAGACATGCAGGGAATGCATATACGACGATGATGAATATATGCACACCCTACATGTCATGGAAAGAAACACACCCATTCCATTCCGCCAGCCCACACCAGCACACACACCCACACCCACGCTGAGTGTTTCATGGCCCCTGATTTTATGAGTGTTTCAGGGCGGCAAAAATATGATGCACCCACCCCACCCCACCCCACCCAGCCCCGGACGCAGGCACACACCACACCCACCCATCCCATGCAGCAACAAACAGGCCAAAAATGGTCGGTCACAGGATCTCAACTAAGTCATCTTACACCACAGAGACCACGGCACGTCATACACTCACTCCCAGCATTGTTGCATTAAGCGCTAGTCGAAAACTGCCCACACACACCACACCCACTCATAGCATATATAGCACAGGACACACGTGCAGCCGTCCGCATCGCCACTCAACTCAACGCCAAAATCGGTACCGTACGCACCAGCATATGATGTACACACGCATCCACAGACATGAACACGCACACGCACACACACGGCTACAGCTTTGCCTTCGTAGGTGCCTCCCCGCCTCTCCTTCCCCTCCTGTCGCCTTTGTTCTTCTTGTGCTTGGCTGACCTCCTGACAAGCTTGAGACCCCTCGCAGCGACGGCAGGGGGGAGACACTCGTCCTTGTAGTGGTCTGCCGGATGGGATGGGGGGCATGCATCACGGACACACACGAAGAACACTCTGAGATAGATGCGTGTTGTGTGCACGGGCTGTGTGTCGTTTGTTGCCGTCTTACCGAAGAGTTCCTGCAGTGCTGTGAGGTACTCGTTGAATATTCTCTCGACCTTCTCCTCACTCGGTGACGCGTCGGGCGGGCCCACCTCCACTGGGCGGCCGCTCCTGCACAGCACATGCATGGGCAGGCAGACAGAGATGGGCGGCAATCATATCATATGACTGTGTGTGTGTGATGTGTGATGTGATGTGTGTGTTGACAACCGTCTTCCTTCCTACTTGATATAGACCTTGGCCTGATGGAAAAGAAAACCGGGTAGCGGCAGCCAGGGCAGTCCAAAGCGGCCGAACGTCAACTGGAAAGGAATCCCCAAGTGACGGTACGTCCACTTGGCCAACCACCTTGCAATGCACACACACAGACATACACGTTTATCTATCTATCTCATCAGTGAGTGAGTGAGTGGATGGCGTTTGTTCCTTAGGTACCTGGACCATTCGGTAGTTTGGAGCAGCTGGTTCTGGCCGAAGAAGTAGATGGGGACCAGCGGCACGCCATACTTGGCGGCCAGGCGTATGAAGCCCAAGTTGTGTGGGAAGAAGGTCTGCTCTTGGTCGGCATCAGTGCGGATCTGCTCATACACACCACCGGGGGCTATCGCAAACGACTTGCCTGTCAGTGGGGTATGGTGGGCAGTGAGCGCACAGACAGGAGTGAGCAGTGTGCTGGACTGACTGGGCCATGACATGGGTGGGACCTGTGCGTGATTCATTTAAGTGTCTGTCTGACCGGCCTTGAGGAGTCCATCGAGGTTCTTTCTGTCGACGGACCGTGCACAGAGAAGGAGAAACCACTCCCGCAAAACTGGCATGAAGAAGACGGGGTCGAACACGCCACAGAAGAAGTTGACCGGGTCGTTCTGATGCAGACAACAACGACAGCGTGGTTCTGAGGGCGTTCAGTGAGGTGAGGGATTTGTGCTGGTTGCTTACTTGTCGAGCGTGCCTGCCTCCCGCGTGGAGGACGCAGACCGGATAGGCACCGTGCGGATGAACAACTTCACACACACACACACACACACACACAAAATTGCCCACAGTCCCGTCCCGCCTCCCTCCCTCTCTCTGTCTCTCCAAGGCTGACCCTCCCCTCCCAGCCATCTAATCAATCTCACCAAGAATGTAGCCCCTGCCCCTGTCCAGCGGCACGAGGTTGCCGAAGCCCATCCAGGTGCAGCCCGCCGCCTTGAGTCCCCACCCCATGGCAGCAGCAATCGCAGCAGCTACCCACTGAGGCCCCCAGTGACCCTTCTTCACCGGACCGCGCCGTGTCCACCACATCCATCCGATGTACACTGCGGCAAGCGTCAAGAAAAGCCGCTGACGGCCTGCACAAAGAATAACGGCACAGCGGACAGTGCGGTGCGGTGTCTGCTGTGCAGCTAGCTGACGCATGTGCACACGGCGCTCACGTGTGAGGCTTGGCCATCGTAGCTTCGCCAAATTCGCCTGCAGCTGTCTGGCGAGACGGTGGCGGAGGCGCTTCGGCAGCAGCTGGTCAGGAGTTGATCTGGGCGAATCGTCGTCCTGCTGAGCTGACTTGGCGTCAGGGAAGTCGCGGCACAGAGCAGCGAGGCGGTTGGATGAGCCAGAGGTGGAAACATCACTCCCGAGAAAGAATGAAGACGGGCTTGACAGCGATGATTCGGTATATTCAGGGGCGTCCTCCCGCCTGTCTTGGTCCTCCATCAGGCGCACACGAGCAGGCTGGCGTCAAATCTGAATGCGGCGATCCAAGCTCGCATGGTTTTGCGAGGGGCGCCCTTCCTTTTGGCGTCGGGCCGAGGCAGTATCGACCTAGTTGTCGGTTTGGTTGCATCTCAGTAGCACAGCGGCTTCGTCTTTATCGTCAGTTTGTTGTTTGGCGCCTGCCTCAACCCCATCTTGGGGGAACGGCCCATGCCGACGGCCGCAGAGGACCAAGAAGAACAGAGCGGCAGCATTGGCAGTGCCAAGGACCTTGCGGAGGCCAATGGCATTGCCAATGGGACGTCGACGCCGATGGCGTCAGCCGCCGCCGCCGCCGCCTCGCCGCCGCCCAAATCGCTCTGCTGGCTGTTCGACTGGGTGAGGAAGGTGCATTCACACACAATTATGGATGAGAGCAGCGCAACAGAGTCAGAAAAGGCCATTTGCAGTGAGTGATACATATGAACGTGGGTGCAATGCATTGCATGCGGTGTTGTTGGTTGGGTTTCGTTGCGTTGTCAGGATGACACGTTGTTTCCAAGGTCCTTCTTCCGTAACTTGCGCGTGTCGTGTCGCAAAGAGTGCTCTCCGAAGATGCTCACCGATTTGCAAGCCGTCGAAGCCAAAGGCATCAAAGGTCCGTCCGCCGTCCGTCCGCAAGGCAGTCAAAGGCAGCACAGCACCTTGCCCGTGTGTGTGGATTGGATTGGTGCGCTGTTTTGTTTTGTGCCTGCAGTGATGGAGCGTGCGTTGGCTCGTGGCGACGTGGTGGTGATATCGAACGCGACCCAGCAGTGGCTGGTCCACTCCGGCGAGGAGTTCCTGCCCAACCTGGTCACCTACCTCAACACACACGGCGTCGAGCGCATCAGCGCGCGGGACATCAACGAACGGGACGATATCATGCACTGGAAGGTATGGCTGTCTGTCCCCCTACACATACCATACACACACACGCAGGGCAGAGGAGAGGGTCCATCTAATCTGATGTGGGGTGCTGTGCTGTGGTGTGCTGGGCTGTGCTGTGGCGCGGTCTGTGTGTGTAGACGAATGCGTTCATGGCTCAGGTGCAGCGGCGGCTGCCGGGTCTGGAGGCTGTCGTGTCCATCGGTGACGACCAGTACGAGATGCATGCACTGGATAGAGTGGCCGAGTAAGGCAAAGAGACAGCCAAACAGCTAAACAGCCAGATACCACACTACACTCGTGTCCTCTTCCCTTGCATTGCATGCCTTCGTTGATCAATCAGCCGGTACCGAGCGTTGCGTACCAACAAGGTCAAGCTCGAGGAGCAGCCCGACATTCAGGAGTTGCAGATGGTATCCGTCCAATCCACACACCACAGGGGTGACGCCGTCCATTCCTCCCCCCTCTCTCCCTCTCTCTGTGTGTGTGTGTGTGTTGTATCGGCAGGAGCTTGATGTCTTGGAGCAGAAGTTGTACTCAGTGCTGGAGGCGCCAGGCACCCTCTGGCAAATCAGGCTCCCCAACCGAGAACATAGGTATGTATGTGTCCGTGTGTGCGCACTGCATCCATGGATGTCGCGCAGAACGCAAAACAGACCGACCGACCAGAATGTCTTCTCGTCCCGTTCATGTGTGTGTGTGTGTGTGTGTGTGTATGCAGTCGGCAGACCTTTTTGGAGCGTGCGTATGCGCCGCCGCCTGTCAATGACAAGGCGAGGCTCATATCGTCACAGGTAGGCAGCCCACACACACACACACACACACACACGTCCTCACACTTCCAAGACAATATGAGACACACACACGCATTTATTGCTGTATGTATTGTTGATATTGATGTGTATGGGTATGTATCTCTGTGTGTGTGGCTGGTTGATGGATGGATGGCTGGAAGGATCAGAGCAAGATTTGCACCGGTTCATTCCCCCCTGAGTTTGTGCCAGAATTCGACGCCATGCTCGCTAGCTATGCCGTCAGCCAGGCCAACGGCATCGGCAATGGCACCACAGCAACCACCACCACCACCACCACCTCGCTCGCTCCGCTCGCCCCCCCTCCCCCCACCCCATCGGGCCCCGCTGCCATAGTCAACCGCATCTCCGTCTCGTCGCCACCATCGCCATTCCCCGTACCGACCATGGTCGCACCACCACCCCAGCCATCAGCAGTCAACCCCCTGCAGCAGTGTGACGACATGGCGCTGCCCCTCCTGCCGCTGCTGCCCGTGGCGCACTCCCAGATCCAGGGGCAGGGTATAAATGCGCATGCCGTCACACCGCCGCTGCCTCTGTCGGTGCCGCCCACCAGGACGCTCACCTTCTCGGTACGTGTTGACAACGAAACACAAGACACACACAGAGACAGAGAGAACAAGAGAACAGAATATATACGTCGCATGCCATGCACGCATCCTTCCTTCCCATCTATCTCCGTGTTGTCTGTCTTTGGTTGTCAGGACATGGTGTGTGTTGACAAGAAGGGGGAGGGCGAGGGGGATGGGGATGGGGATGAGGAGGACGGCAAGGCCCCGGCGGCATCTGAGAAGAACGCACCCACCCGGTCGATCAGCATCAGCGCCAGTGCCATGCCTCTGCCGGTGCTGCCCTTGCCGGTGCCTGTGTGGCCGGGCGGCCCGCAGAAGCACAAGAGGGGCGCCCCTGGCTGTGGTGGTGGTGGTGGTGACGGGGAGGAGGAGGACGCGGGAGGGGATGCCGTGCGGAAGCCGATGGACGAGCCTCTGGAGGACATCCTATCGGAGGGCGAGGCGGCCTGCACCCCACACGCGTCCAAACTTCCCAGCTTCCCCAGCAGCAGCACGAGCCACCTGAGCGATGGCACTAGTGGTGCCAAGGACGACACGACCCACACCAACACCAGCAGCACCAACACCAACACCAACATCAACACCAACACAGCTGTGGCTGAGCTGACGCATGGCGAGGGAGATGATGCAGAGGCGGATGACGTGGACCTGGAGGGGTACATGGATGTGGCGGGCGGGGAGGGTGAGGGTGAGGGTGAGGGCATGGAGGCCGAGGGTGAGTACTTCGACGCCCTGGCCATGCCGATGGAGATCGAGGAGATGACGGCCAAGCCCATGAGCCAGGACTTCCTGCTACCGCAGGACTAGGACCACCAGGATGACATCAAACCCATGAGCCAGGACCTGCTGCACCAGGAGGAGGGGGATGATACCGACGACGGCAGGGTGACCAGGATGAGCACCAGCTGATCTGTATGTGAGGTGCATTTGGTTGGTTGATGGGATGGGTCTGGCTGAATGGCTGAATGGCTGTCTGGCTGCCTGGGTGTGGTGTGTGGTTGGATTGCATGTGATTGATTGATTGCGTGAGTGAGTGAGTGAGTGAGTACAGACAGTATCGAAGTAGTCTGCCTGCCTGAGCCTGAGGGAAGAGACAGAGACACACAGCTGCAGACAGACAGATGTACCATACACACACACACACAGGCGTATCGTCTCCTAGCAGCGTTAGAGCCGTGTCGGCACACGCACACGCACACACATAGATACACACGCAGGGAGAGAGACAGAGACACGTCTAGATCCTCTCCTCCCCCTGGCTCTATCTATCCATCGGATGGTTCCCTCGTCCATCAGACAAGGTAGAGCAACGCCCTTCTCTCTCTCTCTCTCTCTGTCTCTCTCCCTCTGTCTGTCCGCCTGGTAGAATTCGTATGCTGCTCGTACAGCTGGCTGTGGCTGCTACCCTCTCTCTCCCTCTCGCTCTCTCTCTCGGCTGTCCGCAGATGTGTGTATGAGATGAGTGGATCTATGTGTAGCAGAGAGCCGGCCGAGCGAACCGATAGATATGCGAGTGAGCAGTTTCCCTTCGACGCGCACACAGAGACAGGGACTCAAGCATGCATTGCATCCGCCGGAAGAGCGACAGATAGGCTGGCTGGTGCATGCGGCTCGTGTCGTGCGGACACACAGAGAGAGACACTAACTACACACTCCACTCGCTGGCTGCCTTCTGCATGGCGCCGGCCAGTTAGTTGTGTGAAAGGGGTGGTTGTGGTTGTGCGTGTGTGTGTGTGGTTGTGTGTGTGTTGTGTGGATGGATGCCATGATAAATGGGTGCGGTGCGTGGCGTGTACATAGGTAGAGGGATGATACGAGGAGGGCGATCGGATTGGATGGATTGCATTTGATTGGATGGGTGGTCGACGGACAGAGAGACTCGGAGAGATGACAGACCGACCGACCGATCAATCAACAACACGTGATGGATGGATGGACTAACTAACGAATGGGTTGCAGATTTGATGATATGAATGGAATGGATACATACAAGTCTGTCCTTCACGCACACCACACGTGACAGACAGGCACGTGCGCATGCAGATGGAGAGAGAGATGCATCATAGCAGTCCGACAGACACACCACAGCAGCTCACACACGATAGATAGATAGATAGACAGATAGATAGCCTGACGTCGTCAAGCGAGAGAGAGAGACAGCCAAAAATCAATCACACACGCTGTCCCCCCGCACCTGCGCGACTACAATACGACGCACGTCGACCGACGTGTGCAGGCACACAACACATGGCTGTACATCATCTGTCTGGACACGGACGAGCATGACTAAGCAGCATGGAAGCATGAAACCCCACTGAGGAGGATCAGATGGATGGACGGATGGACGGATGGGCCGGATGGACACACATGACAGGAAGGAAGAACACACCAACGCGGGAAAAATGGTGATATATGCGATCGATGCCCTCACTGAATGCCGCTCAGCCCCCGAAGTGGGAAGTGACCTAGACATGTATGTATGTATCTCTCTCTATGGTACACAAGATAGAGTCTCTCTGTTAGCTGCGATCGGATCGGCCCGTCGGGCAGCCACACACGCTGTCATGTCAGCGTGGAGATACAAACAAACGGGCAGGCAACACATACATACATACATAAAGGCATATCTACCTACCCTACCTAGTCACTCATCCAGTCACCCAGGCATAGTGAGTCGACAAATAGATCGATCAGCCCCCCCCCCCCCCCCCCCGTCCCCGGCCATCGGCCATGGATCAATCATGACCATGTCATGCGCTGATCTTGGACCGCTCAGCCGCTTCCCCGCCCCCGCCCTCCTCGCCCCCATCGCTCTCTTTCCTGCGTTTCTTCCTCTTGCCCTTGTCGCCGTCCTTGCGCACCTGCTGCTTCGAGGCCTTCCCATTCTCGCCATGCTGGACCGCTGCTGCCACGGCTGCTGGCGGCGGTGTGCCACTGACGGCGGGTGCGTCAGAGGCTGCGGCTGTGCCACCGCCACCCTCCTCGTCCCTCATGCGTGTGACGATAAGATAGTCCTCCACATTGCGCCTCCTGCCGTCCCTCCACTCATCCTGCCCGCCGCCCTCCCTCTCCAAATCGGCCCTCTCCTCGTCTGTCAGCCTCTCCCATGCAGCAGGGTCCGAGTGCGGCGATATCACCACTATCAGCACACGGGGGTTCCACCCGTCATGGGTACACGGTGGAGGCGCGCACGAGCATGGGAGCGGTGTGGGAGGGGCCGATGGTGCGGATGCATCGCCGGGCTGTGCCTGTGCGTGCATGTTGTCCAGGGATGGAGGAGGAGCGGTACTCGGGCCGGAGGCGAAGCGCGAGAGGTGTTCCGGGATGCCTAGGCCCTCCTCGCAATGGAACTTGCCGTTGATGTGCAAGATCAGGGCGTCCCTATTGTGCTGTCCATACTGCGAAATGCTCCACGCCATCGTCGCATCCCTGCACACACAGACACACACACAGAATGCAACCACGATCATGCAGTGCATGTAATGTGGCCGGTTCTCTTTTTTCACTCCTCTCGCCCACCCCACCCACCATAAATTCTGCACAGCCAGGAGTCGTGCGAGTGTCCTGAGTATGCCCCCTCCACTGTCGTCAGCGCCGCCCACTGCCCCGTGCATCCCCATGTGTGCGACAAACTTCTGGATGTAAGCTTCCGACGCCGGCAGGATCATCCCCAGTGGCGGCAGCCAGCCAAGGAACGGCCAGGCCTCGTCCGTGGCGTGGGTGGAGGGGTGCTGCTGGTGCTGATGGAGGCTGGCCATGCCCTGTTTTTTGACCAGGCGGGCGACCTCTGTGGGGGTGTTGGTGCCGATGACACGCACCTCGTGTGAGCGTGCGAATGAGATGAGGGGCTGGTAGTCTGAGTAGTTGATGGGGAGGGTGGCGTCGTTGTCCTTGATGAACTCCTCCTCTGTGAGGTAGCCGTTCATGTAGCTGTCCAGGTCACACTGCAGGTCTCGCGACAGAAACTCTAGACTAAATGAGGGCAACGAACGAACAGGGCAACGAACATCCATAATGAATGGTTTCTATCGACCAGTCGACACATCAGATCAGCAGGCATCGTTTTGTGGTGTGGTGCATACATACCCGAGGCAGACGGGCCGTTGTCTGCTGGCACAGTCGGACACGACCTCCCTCAAAAGCTGCAGCTCTATGCTGTGGGCCGCTTCGTCATCATGTGTTTCGCCTGCACGACACAGACACAGGCGCACACAGCAATAAATGCAGGACCTTGCCCCTGATCAGAATGTATCAGCCATGGCAGCCTGAACTCACTGGTTAGGTGACCTACCTATGAGGACGACATCCGACTGTAGAGCGCTCTTGACCACCCTCTCAAGCGAAGACACGCCGCCAGCGTTGTCATACACGATGTAGCTCCACCTTGGGGGCGCCTCTCGCCCCGCATCTGGCTGGCCAATGGGAGGCTGATGAGCTGAGGCAGCTGCAGAGCATCTGGCTGGTCTGCGGGCGCTCTGATGCAGCGACAAGGAAGCCAGGGGAACAAAAGGAGGAAGGACGCTGCGGAAGATGCCAGACGCCATCAACGTCGGTCGTTTCGGCTCCCCAGATCCTCTCCCAGCGACGCCAAACCCCCTTATCCCAAACCCCTCGACACGGAGTCTCCTGTTTCATGCAGCACCCTAAGCGGCCTGGTCAGAGCAGGAGGGGGAAGGACAGGAAGGAATTCCTACTGACGAATAGGTCTGCGCATCTTTGGGAGGGAGTGTTTTTTGATGCGGTCCACTACTCGGCGAGTTTTCCGTTTCCGTAACGTCCCGCAGTGACCGGATGATGGATACGTGCGGCCGTAACGAATCCTCTCCCTCTCGCCCGTCCGAAAGCGTTGACACCGACGTGCCCCTCCTCTCTCCCCCGTCACTCCCTGTGTTGCCCCTCGACCACACGCCGTGTGGCCACATTGACTCCTCCGGATCCGCCGCCTCCTCGCCGGCCATGTGGACAAAGACAGAGGCCAACACAATGAGGAGGAAGAGAGGTCAGAACACCACAACACAGACACAAATCCGTTGACACAGACAGAAGGGCAAGTGCGCTTTCTTCCCCTGTGTGCCTTCAGGCTGCGAGGAGATGAAGCACCACAGCTATGGCGGCCCGGGGATCGGCAGCCTCACTCGTGGGGGCCTCGGTGGCATCGCCACCATCGCCACCACCGACTCGGACGATTGGGAGGAGTCCCTCCTGCTCAAGAGGAAGCGCCTCAACCGGCTCTACTCCCAGTCCAACAGTGCCCTGCGGTCCAGCTCCGCCAGCACCATGGTCGACATGACAGACGTCGACAGCAGCAGCCCCATCATGGCGCGCCTGCACATCGACCTCCAGCGGCTGGCGGTGTCACTGCCGGAATACTCGACCACCACAGGGGACGACACGATGCGTTCGAGTCTCTCGATGGGCGGGACGCAGGGCGAGCCCGACGACACGCCGACGTCGCCTATGGCGAGGGCGTTGCGGGCCAGAGGGATGGTGGTGGAGGCTGCGTTTCAGCTGGGGGATGGGAAAGGACAGGAGGGGGAGATGAGAGACGATGGTGATGCCAAGTGACCCACCGAGCGACAGACAGGAGAAGCACTCGTACTTTTGTGGCTGCCAGTATCCATTCGTCCATTCATTCATTCATTCATTCATGTATATATGTCAGTCAGTCATATGTATCCCGTAACTAACTTCGGGGAGGGAGGGGTGGGGGGGTCTAATGCGATGCGATGCGATTCGTGTGTGTGTGTGTGTGTGTATGTCTGTGTGTTGTGTGTGCCTGTGTGTGGGCGGCTGGGTAAGCATGGCATGTATAGCGCTTCTTGATTGCTTGGCCGCTTCCTTGAAATGAAGGCGGTTCTTCCGTCAGTAATTCTTGCTCGACCTACCTCTCCTTGCGTGGTTAAGGGACTCAGTCCACTCGAGTGGGCTGATGACAGATAGGGCTAGCAGACAGACAGACAGACAGACAGGCCCACCCAGCACCCTCCCAGCACCCTCACAGACAGTGCAATCGACACGACTCTTCTGCTGTTGGTCTGCTGACAGCTATGACGCTTTCTGAGGGAGGGACTGGGGAGCGGACGATGGACGGCCGAACGAACGGGTGGATGGATGGATGGATGCCACCATGCACTCACTCGTTCGTTGACTCGTTCGTGGGCGGATGGATGGACAGACGTCAGTCAAATACAACACATACATGCATGATGAGAAGACGGACAAATGGGCGGACGGATGGCCACATACGGACTATCCTCTTTATGTACACCTGAGGCAGTCAGTGACGGAGGAAGGAAGCAAGCAAGGAAGGAACACACAATGCAAACAATACAATACAATACACCCACCAGCCGCCGCGGCCACCCCAATCTATCAATCAGTTCTTCAGTAAGCTTCAGACACACATCATGATGCGGTTGCCCACAGCAAAGCCACTTTCTCTCCCTCTCTCTCTCTCTGTCGCTCTCTCTCTCCATTTGGCAGCAGCACGGAGGGTGGATGAACCATGTGTAGGCGTCTAAGGATACATACAAGGTGCGTGCCTTTGAAGCAAGCTAAGGTAAGGTACACAACAGCAAAAAAGCCAGCACCACCACCGATGAGATGAGACAGACAGACAGCCTACAATAAATCACCTCAGTCGTCAGTCGCTCCCTCATCCGCCCTCCCCCATCCACCCCAGCAATGACCCCCCCCCCCATCAGTCAGTCACTCGCCGACAGGCTTTGCGAGGCTCTCTCTTGTGGCCTGGAGTGCCGCCTTGACGGAGTCGGTGGAGAGCTGTTTAGAGAGTCTTTTCCGTAGCTGGTTCATGGCCCGGGCGCTGGTCTCGGTGTCGAGGTCGCTCAGAACGTCCGCACCCAAGGACTCGTTGGTGCCCTCGGTGGTCGTCATGGAGGGCGTGCTGGCGTCGTTGGCTGGTGGCTTGGGGGGTCTCGGTGGGCGGCTGATGACCTCGTTGATGGTCTTCTCGGCGTTGGTGGGCGGTGCGTCCGGGTTCAGCTCGATGGTAAACCCCTGACGCATCAGCTCCTCGTAGATGGTCTTCGAGTACTTCTCGGCAAACACCTCAAAGTAGTACGTCGAACCTAAAAGACACACAGATGGATGCGTCAAGGCGCATGCATCCATGGCTTGGCTTGGCTATGGCTTGGCTTGGCTGGCTTCACTCACCGTTCCAGACGGCGAGTGCGACCATCGAGGCCAGGAAGATGGTGTGTGCCCAATAGGACCTCCACCAGATGAAGCTCAACAACTGCACGGACAACAAAGGCACAATACAGCAACACACACACACAACAAGACTCTCTTCCTCTTGTCGGCCGCCTGCCCCTCCCTCCGTCCCTCCCTCCGTCACCATGCAAAGGCTGCAGCCGAGTGCGTGGATGAACATGTAGACGAGCGGCCCCCACGAGCCGGCCGCCTTGACGATGGCCGCGAGTGGCTTGATGGTCCGCAGCATGTACAGGTAGACGGTGTCGTAGTTGCGCTTCTCGATCCGCTTGGCCGCCACCTTGAACATCACCAGGTAGTAAGGGACCTGCCATATCAAGATGTACACCAGCAGCGGCAGCACCAGCAGCTCGTAGGCAGTGGCATCGCAGTAGATGGGGCTGGGGCTGGACGGCTCGCAGACCCTTGGGAGGAACTGCCACTTGTCGAGGACCCTGTCGGCGTGCCACCGGATGGCCCAGACGGCGAGGCAGGGGGTGGCGTGGATGAAGAGGTTGGTCGTCATGTCCAGAGAATGAAACACCAGACTGTTCCGATTCAACGCTAGCCCCCAACTCAGCGGACCAGTCACCTTCAGGGACACACACACCCACAGACAGACAGACAGACAGATCAATCACCAGACACACCCACCCATGCCACCCATGCATGCCATGGCCGAGCATCCCTTATTTGCCTCCCTAGCTGTCGTCTCCGTCGCTCACCCAGGCAAAGACCACTTTGAATATCCTGGGGTTGTCGGTGTCAAAGCCCGGCAGCTTGGGCAGCCCCACCACACCGCAGCCCAGCCCGTATATGCAGTAGCATGCGAACAGCGCATTCGCCTCGTAGCAGAAGTCCAGCAGGTAGTAGTGTGTGGCGGCGCGCCGGTAGTCGAAGTACCGAATGAAGAACAGCACGGGCGTCTTGACCGCGTGCACCAGCCAGAAATCCTCCGGGCATCTGGCCAGCACCCACGTGTCGCAGATGAGGTTGCACACCCCGATGAAGAAGGCCAGCTCGTCTCGGAGCTTCAGGGGCTTCAGCAGCTTCTTGACTGCCTTGGGGTCCATCGTCGCCTTCAAAAAATCGATATAAAAAATCAGGTCAGGCTGGAAATCAGGATGAACAGGAATCTTGATTGACAGTTGCTTCGCAGCTGCCCGCCGCGGCCTTCTTCTTCGCTCCTGTCAAAAGCTCGCATCTGGCGCTTAGGACATCTCGTGAAATCGCTCTCTCTTCTGCGAGCCAGACAAGTGAAACAGTAGACTCCTCTCTTTACTCCTCTCTTCCATCGGCCGTATGAGTCGCTGAGGTGATGGCATCGCTGTACGTGGAGGCAGCAGATGTGCTTCGGGCAATGGAGGAGCAGGGCAAAGGCCTGAAGGCAGCCCTCTACGACGACAAGCAGCGGAGATCTGATGTGCAGAAGGTGAGGTGAGGTGAAGCCATGAATGGCCATTCATATCAATTGGCGCATGTAGCTACTTGGATGCTTCTCTCTGTTCTCTGTTCTCTTTTCATTGTCCCGTGTGTAGGTATGCGGCCTGGTATGTGCCGTGCTGAGGCACAAACAGCTGCTCATCCGCGTACTCGACCGATGCGGGCTGATTGATGGCAGCGCAAATCACAAGAAGAGCAAAACCAAAGCCAAGTCGTCGAGTCCAGTGGACAACCGGTATCTGTGCCTGGCAATGGCGCAAGACATGCTGTTTGGCAGAGGCATCAGGGGCGGAGGTACGTGAGCAGCTCACACCACACTCAGCGGCAATCATGGACAATGTGGATGTGGGTGGACGGACCACTTTTGCGTTTCAGGTGGCGTCAAGCGAGCCCTGGAGGCCAACCAAACTGAGCTTCGAGCCGCCCTCGCTGATGAAGAGAACAAGGGCCCACCACCTCCAACAGCAGCAGATTCAGCAGTGTCATCGCTCCCCTCCAAGCGCAGGAATGCCTCCCAGCAGTCGGCATCGAAGCGGACACGAGGGGAGAACGGGGCGGTGGTCAGCGAGAGGAGGCCGGGCGATGCTGCTGATAGTGGTGGTGCTGTCGTTCTTCCTCCCCGTTATGTGAGGGTCAACGGCCTGGTCGGTGGCAAGAGTGGGCAGGAGATCCGATCTCTGATCCAGGCACAGATGAGAAAAGCTAAGGTACTTACGTCAGTCATTATAATGGGGTAAATGACAACAAGCAAATGGCTATTCAGTTGTCCTGCCAGTCACTCACGTATCGGTGCGTCGATATATCGTCAGATTGATGGTGATGTGGAGACCGACCCCTACATCCCTTCCCTTCTCGTGCTGCCCTCGACTGCTGGGGCCCTCCTGGCGCAGAACAAGCTGGTCCACGAGGGCAATGTCATCCTTCAGGACCGATCCAGCTGCCTGGCTGCGCTGGCGGCCGACATCCGGCCTGGCGACACGGTGCTGGACGCCTGTGCGGCCCCTGGGAGCAAGACGCTGCACTGCCTGGACTTCATGAAGGGCAGCGGACATCTGGTGGCCTGTGAGAGGGCGCCCCGGAGGGCAGTCACTCTTTTGCAGAGGTGCGCATGAACTGGATGGAGTACATGACGAACTACCCTTTATGCAGTCAGTATTCTTAGACTTTGGTTTCTCCAGGCTGCGTGATCACGGCGGTTTTGACGGCCCTCTGGAATCTCTCTCCGCAGCTTATGGTGACTCCGCCGACAAGCGGAGTGCTCTGTCCGATCTCAGCGACGCCCGCGCGGCTGAGCGGCAGCTAAAAGAGCGGGACGGCAAGCCTATGTTCTTCAGACACACCAACTATGGTCGGTACCTGCAAATGGGTCACTCGTCTCGCCTCACACGCGCGTCGGTTGATCGATCGATCTTTCTTCCACCCATCCCTTCTGTGCGTGTGCAGCGTCGCTAAGTGTGGAGGTCAGAGTGGCGGATTTCCTCTCCCTGCGATCCGCAGATGTGTCCCCTGATGTGATCCTTGTGGACCCGTCGTGTTCGGGCAGCGGCCTGCCCACACACCAGATGGACGACCAGGGGGGCGGGCGGGACGTGGAAAGGCTGCAGAAGCTGGCTGCCGTGCAGACACAAATGCTCAAGTAGGTGAGACAGACCAGTGGACATGACTAGAAAATGTATGTCTGGGAACTTACTGCCTCCCTCGTGTGTGTTTTGTCTTGTGCTCCTGTCTGTAGTCATGCACTGACTGCCTTCGCGACTGCCCGCACCGTCTGCTATTCGACCTGTTCCACTCATGAAGAGGAGAACGAACAGGTGGGTGCGACCCGAGCGGATGGGATGGATGCCACACACTCCACTGCCATGTGTCGTCTGTCTTGTGGTCCGTGCAGGTGGTTGCGGCTTCATTGGAGACAATCGAGCAGCACAAGGCATCATCAGCTGCCGCCAAAGGGGGTGGTAGGGCGGCCAGGCGTTTCCGCCTCGTGTCAGCCGTCCCCTGGTGGCCCTCTACTGGTGTGCCCGAAGAGCTATCTAATGCGTATGCATGGGGTAGCAAGTGCGTGCGGTGCGATCCGGCTGTGCATCGGTGTCGGGGGTTCTTCCTCGCTAAATTCGTGAGGAAGAGATGAATGCTGACTGACTCATAATGTCCGTACCTGTTGACAGACAGACTCGTCTTCCAGGTGTGTGCAGTGCGACTGATGCTTGCACATATGTCCATTGGCTGATCGGGTGTGGGTCGCAACATCTTACACACAGGGTCCGTCAGCTACATACCATCCACGTAGCTCAAAACAGACACACAGCCGGCCCGGCTCATATATTGTCATCGGCTGCTCACGGCAGGTCGTTGACCTCCCATTGCTTTGAAGCGCACCGCACACACATAAGCCCCGCCCACCCCGCCCACCCCACCCACCAGGCCCACAAATAAATACTTGCCATCGACACGTCCACTCTGAATGCGGCACTACCACACTCACTCAGTCATTCACAGCACAGCTGCCCCCACATCCGCCAGGGCAGACTCGTACCCCGGCAGACTCTTGATGTACCCCGCGTCGTCAAAGGATCGCCCCAAGCTGACGCCAAGCACCGCATGGGCCACGATCACCGCCATGGTGGCGCTGCCGAGAAACGCGTGGGCCGCCTTCAACAGCTCCCGCGTCCTCTCGTCGGCGCCAGCAAACTGAGTGGACAGCAACGCCTGAACTGCCAGCAGCCCCAGCACACTCAATCCTGTGTGTACGACGGACCAACACACACAAACGTCCGTCTAGTAAAGTGCAGTGCATCCCTCAGGTCCCTCCCTGAGTGTCTGAGTGTCTGAATGAGTGAGTGACCTGTGAGTGCATGGGAACTCTCGAGTATCGGCTGTTTCTCCAGCAGCATGGCGCCCACGCCGCCCTGGGCCCCCAGGAAGAAGAACAACAGCATCCCGGCCATCAGCTTGGGATGGAGGGACTTGGAGTTCATTGGGTCCATCTCGGCATTATCGGGCTCGAAGTCCCAATCAACAGGCGAATCTGATGTGGCCACCTGACACACAGACACAGACGCTTTCTTTGGTGTCCCGCTGAGTGAAGTGAAGTGAAGTATCCCTCCCTAAGCTTCGGTCACCTGCCCCTGTGCAGCTGCCTTCCTGGTGTTGCGTATTTGCCAGCCGAGGTAGGCGCCATAGCCCCCCATGGCCGCAGCGACGATGCCCATGTTGATGCCATGGAACCAGTGGATGACGAACGGCGGCATCTCCATCGACCGAAGGCTCTCAAGCAGCCGATTCTCAACACAGATCTCGGGAGGACCTACAGCCAGCCAGCCAATCCATCCATTTACCCACACCCTCAGCCTATCACCCATCACCAGTGTGACCGTGTGACCCAATCTCTCTTCTTACATGCTTCCCGGGATTTGAGCCACTGGTTGAGCCCCTCAGAGAGTGAAAGGGAAAGAGAGTTGTCGAGCAGCTGCACTGACGTCTGCGGCCGTCGCCTGTCTGGGCTTCGAATCAGCCGCGGACGCACAGATGAGGTGGTGCTGGGTTGCTGCGGGATGACAAAGGCACTGGCGGCGGCGCCGAAGGCAATGAACACAAGACTGCACAGATGCATTCCGGCTGCTGGGCCGTCGGAAACTCGCCGGATCTTTGACGAAATAAACGCGGTCTGCGCAGCAACGAAGTTGAGGCAACTAACGGAAGTTGTTGGGAGCTGGGAGCTGTTTCGCAGAGCCAATCTGCGAGCTTAGGTGTGAAGAATTCTGTTTCACGCGGTTGAAGCCAGGTTTTCCTCGGCAGTAGCGGCTCTCCTGGCGTGTACGTCGTACCGCCGTCCAGGCCCCTCGCATCGCCTGTAGCTGTGACCTATTGCTGATTTGGAGTCCCCCCGCTGCCGCCACCACGATGGCTCCCGGTGAGATGGCTCCCAACGAGATCGCACAAGCTCTAGCAGTGGACAAGGTGGCGACCAACGGCGTCGCCAATGGCGTCGAGACCGACAGACGCGCCAACAACGGCGACGTAGAGGCTGAGGAGCCTGACAACGACCTGGACGAGGGCGAGGGGGAGGGGGAGGGCGGTGGTGCTCAGGAGGGGGACAAGAAGAAGAAGCGACGCAAGAAGAAGAAAAAGGCACCTGCCGCACCGCAGCCAGCGGCACCCGTGGGCCCCGACGCGGCGACCGAGGTGACTGAGGTGACCACCATAACCAACGGTGTGGCGGATGAGGCCAAGGCAGAGGCTGAGGCCAGCCCTGCCGTCGTGGAGGCGGCTAACGAGGTCCAGGAGGGGGAGGGGGAGGGCGGCGACGAGGGCGGCGCGACATCGGCTGCAGCCAAGAAGAAGCGACGCAAGAAGAAGAAGGCTGCCGCGACACAGAACGACGATGACGCCCTGCTGGAGGAGGCGGCTTCCTCCGCCGCGCAGGCCCAGCAGCCGTCATCCGCCCCTGAGTCCCGTAAACCGCTCGTCCAGACGACGCTGCCGGCGCAGGACAACAGCGTGTTTCGGCTGGTGGGGAGCTGGAGTGAGGTCAAGGACACCTACCAGACGAGCCCGCCCAAGGTGCCGATTCACGAGTTGTATGCTGACGAGCAGTACCCTCGGGGCGAGGAGGTGGAGTACGTTGGGGAGAACGCCAAGCGTGTGACGGACGAGGAGAAGAGGGAGCAGGAGAGGCTCCACAACGTCGACTACAACCAGGCCAGGAGGGCCGCTGAGTGCCACAGACAGGTGGGTGAGGTGGGGGGGAGCAGAGCAACCACACAGGGCCGGGGGACAGACAGACAGGACACACACACTCATGCATGCATTCACTCATTCATTCGCGGAAGGTGGTACGCCTTTGTGTGTGTGTGTGTTGGGTACCCTCCCTAGGTTCGTAAGTATGCGCAGTCGTACATCCGTCCGGGCATGCCGATGGTGGAGATCTGCCAGCGGTTGGAGCAGAAGACGCACGAGCTCATCGCGGCCAACGGGCTCGACTGCGGCTGGGGCTTCCCCACCGGATGCAGCATCAACAACTGCGCCGCTCACTACACACCCAACTATGGCGACAAAACACTCCTCCAGGTCGGTATATGAATAGGGTGGGTGGGGGCGGCAGACGCACTGCACTGGGCTTATGACTCTTTGTGCTGTGTGTCTGTGTGCAGGAGTCCGATTTGTGCAAGTTGGATTTCGGTGTGCATGTGGGCGGTCGGATCATCGACTGTGCGTTTTCGATTGCGTTTGACTCCAAGTACGACAGCCTCATCCTGGCCTCCAAGGACGGCACCAACACGGGGCTCAAAGAGGCCGGCGTCGACGCCAGGTACGCCCGCACCACGCCGCACCCATGTGATGTATCTATCTTGTTGGTTGATGTGAGGGGTGAGACAGACATACAGACAGACAGACACAGACAGACAGACAGACAGTCATGATTCGTTGTGTTGTGTGTGCAGGTTCTCTGAGATAGGTGCGGCCATCCAGGAGGCCATCGAATCGTATGAAGTGGAACTCGACGGAAAGGTGTGTATGTGCAGACAGATAGACAGATACAAAGAAGGAGTATCGACCCTCATCCACCCGTCCACTTGTGTGTGCGCAACAGACGTATCGCGTCTTGCCCGTGCGCAACCTCAACGGCCACTCTATCATGCCCTACCAGGCACACACACACACACACATCCATGTCAATGTCATGTGCATGTCCATGTGCATTGATGCGATGCGGTGTGTGTGTGCAGGTTCACGGTGGCAAGTCGGTGCCCATCGTCAAGAACAACGACAGCACCAAGATGGAGGAGGGCGAATTCTACGCCATCGAAACCTTCGCATCCACCGGCAAGGGGTCAGTGCACTCACTCACTCTAAGAAGGGCAGCTAGAGGTCCAGCTGAATTCGATTGGATCGGTGTGGTGTGGTGTGGTGTGATGTCGGTATGTCGGTATATGTGTGTTGTGTGTAGGTATGTGATCGAGGACATGGAGTGCAGCCACTACATGAAGGTACAGACCGACCCACACACCCATCCATAACACACAAATGCCACATTGTCAGTGTCTGTGGCATTTTCTGTGTGGTTTGATGTGCGTCGGTCGCTGTCCAGCGTTGGGATGCCGGCCACGTGCCGTTGCGGCTCCAGAGCGCCAAGACGCTCCTCAGGGCCATCGACACACACTTCGGCACGCTAGCATTCTGCCGGTGAGCAACTCGTGAGGGCGCGGCGCAACCACACAGCCACTGAACACGCACACACAGGCTTATGGTCTGGTCCGTCCCTATGTGTGTGTGTATGTGGTTTGTCTGTCAGTCGTTGGTTGGACGATTTGGGTCAGCAGCGTCACCTGATGGCGCTCAAGACCCTGGTGGACAACAACATCGTCACGCCATACCCGCCGCTGTGCGACATGAAGAACTCGTACGTCTCACAGATGGAGCACACTCTGCTCCTGCGACCTACATGCAAGGAAATCATCTCGAGGGGAGACGACTTCTGACTGACTGAACCTATCAGTGGGGGAGGGACGGAGGGAGTGGCCGCCGGTTGTCGGTCGTGTCGATTGCACTCACTA